GACGACGAGCTTCGGCAGCACGCGCTGATGCAACGGTCACTGGGCGAGTCACGATCGAGTGGTGGATTCAAGAGTGAAGAGTGTGCTGCCATCATCACGATCAAAGACGGAGGAGATGAAGCCTCGGCAGCGCTGCAAGCTGCAAGCTGCTGGCTGGCTGCGCGCTCAGAACTCAGCGTACGCACATGCGCAGCTGTAGGTGCGGTGGGTGCGGCTGATGCTGCAGAGAACATCATGTACTGTAGGTATCGGAGGCGCACGCGCTCCTTTCGCTGCGCTGCCCGACGCTGATGGCTTAGCCAAGGGAAGCGTGAGTCACGCACGAGTACAGTCACGAGTCACGAGTACCACCAAAACGCGGGGTTGCATGATGCTTATTTAGACTGATGAGTTGGCGCTGCTGTGCATGCTGAAAAATGCCGCGCGCACTCCACGTATCCCACCGAAGGGCAGCTGCGCTCGATCGGACTGCTGCAAGCTCGATCCTCGCAGAAGACAAAGAATGCCCATCTGCTACCACTACTACTGTATCTGCTCCTTTGCCCGGCTTGCTGCCATGTACTTGGCCCCGGGTTTGAAGCACTGGCCATCACACACAACGCCGTCTGCAGTAGGGAGGCGCCCGCGAGCAAGATCTGATCAACGTCATTTCGATCTCGACAGCCGTGATTGAGTCGCGAGCGGACGAGCGCAAGACGTCAATCGCGAATCTGACCTTCTCACTCTGACACCATGATCATACAGCGTTGCGCATTCCTGTTCTTGCGACCGCCACGAGGTGCTCGCCGAGAGGCATTTGGCGATGGAGACGGTCAGACGCTTCACACTACAGCCTCATCACGCACCACACGTGCTGTATCCGCGCGACGTGCCCTTTCTCCGCAGGCATTGCATGGTTGATCAGACTGCTTCTGCAGGTATTTCGGAATACGGGCATGCTCTCGATGCTAGCGAAGACAGTTTCCCATTTGAGACTCGCAGTGCCTACAAGTGTTGTAGACGTGACAGCAGACGTCTTAGGGGCGGACAGAGTGCCGGAATGGCCCGAAGAGCCGACTTTCGAGATTCACGCGGACACACATGCACATGTAGGTCGCAATCAGAATGGCTATGTACGGTAGATGTGTGACAAGGAGGAGGCCACAGAATGTTTATGGTTCTTTCAGAACTTTTGCAAGAGCGCCACACCCAAAGTCAGCAGCACGACCTCGAGTTGCTTGCGCTCAGCAAGGAGCTGATCGAGTGACAGCAGAGGCTCATCCTCCGAGTCTGGAGGCGCATAGATCCGCGGAATGCGCACAAATCGACTGAGGCGGGCGTGTAGCAGTAAGCGGTGTGAGGATCAGGTTGACCGAAGGCTCAGCTCGGCGCTTGTTGGCCATCAAACGATACTCAATATGACTCACTGGTTTGGATTGTGTTCGCTGGCGGCTTGTCGCAAATGCGCCTCGCACACGTCGAAGGTGTCGTCCACAGCCAGATTGGCGTCCGAGCACTGCTTGCCGGTCCGAGCCAAAGCAACGGTCAGCGCTGCTATAGTGGCGTGGGAGCATTGGCGAGTACAACTCACACTCTGACATCGAAAGACGAATCCAAAGATGGGATTCAAGGGACAACCGTCCACATCGCAATACAAGCCATCTTGCGGCATCCTCGACCAAGCAAAAGCCGTCAACTCTAGCTTGGCGGTGGTGCGGCGTGATGGCGACGCGTCTTGGCCAGGAGCATCCGCACCGTGCAACACGGCAATCAAGGCTTGATCTTGCTTCCGAATCAATTCGTGCCTTGCCGGCAGCGAGACCCATTCGAGATCTCGACCTTCGTGGCTGTGCATTTGGAATTGTGTTTAGGGAGAGCGATCGTGCGAGATTAGAACCAAACAGATGGAGGACCTGCCGACACGCGGCGCTCACTCGTTGAACGTCACTGCAGACTGCGCTTGCTTGGTTCTGATGACTACTCCCGTCTTCTCCCCGTTGGAGGCCTTGACTTCTAACTTGCTGCCAAGCAGCGATTTACTAGCAATGAGACTCGCATCGTATGGCAAGTCAGGATTCTCGTTGGCAGTAGAAAGCGTGAAGCTTCTGCCGCCTTTGTTGTCCCGAGGTTCACATCGATACAGCGGGTCCATGGTCCGGCCGCAGCCGCACCTACTCAAGTCACCTTGGGCCGGACACGAGCAAGGCACGCTACGAGGTGGAGGAGGTGGCACCTGAAATTCAATCAAGTCTCGGTGCATGTGAACTTCGTAAGTGGGCACTTTGTGCCAGTTCGGTGCAGAGTATTCAGCTTTCCCATTTGGCTGATGTGCGCACCACGCCGCGCGAAAGTCGAAGGGCTCGTAGTTTGGCGCAGCAAATCCAGGTGGTGGTCCGGGAGGAGGAGCAAAAGTCGTTGCGGGTGCTGCTGCGTTTCTCACTGATGGGACCGGGAATTGTAGGTTTGATGGTGAGATGCTCGAAGTCGACGCTTCTGTCGGCGTGGCTCCGTAAAGCGGCGGAGGCGACGCTTCGCGTTGTTTCTCGTTCGATGACGCCTCATTGGCCTTATCTTCCGCTGCAATCTTCTCTTCAATCCAGTCCGGCATGATCGATTCTGAGCTCAGTATGAGGCAGATGAATATTTGGGCGGCTTGCAAAATGTCGAAGGTGTAACTCGTAGTCTATTCGAGGAAGCTACATGGGTTGCGCTGTGCGGCTCTTCTCGACATCTGATGAGTCGGTCGAGGGTCGTGGTGGCTGTGGCTGTGGCTGTGCACGCATGATGTCGCGTGCAGGCGATGTTCGTCATATATGTTCACGTGACTTTGACCCTTGACCAATGAATCAATACAATCTGAATCTTAATCAACAATCGAGACTCAAATCAACAACAAGAACAATTAAGAAATTGAATATAAATCGACTAGCCAACAAGTCAAGCCACGAGTGAAACTGAAGGGTTCGAATGTTGACGAACTCTTGGTACCCGCCGAGAAGCGCAAATGCTCAATTCAAGATTATATCTGGGCCCAGGAGTTCAATCAGACCAGGGACATCAGATGAAGCACAGCGCAGCGAGCTTTGCGCACGATCATACATGTACTCATAATTCACATTAAGAATCAATGAACGTGAATGAATAATCATTCATCTTGTCTTGAACAAGCAATCATGCAAGACCTCCATCCTTCATTCTTGATTTCAGACTACTCTCAAAATCTCAAAGCGAAGAATTGTCCAACCATGCCTCGATTGCCTCATCGCGTCTGTGTGGCTATCAGCTTGCTAGACTCGAGACAGTAAATCCTGGTCACGACGGCGCACTCATTCGATTCATCAACGAGAGTCTCGAAGCGCAACAGCAGCGCATGTATCCTCTCGGCGCGAGTCTGATCTCATCAGGACGCTTCTAACGATGACGATAGATCCCCGCGGTCATGGGTCAGAACCTCCCGTCTGGCGGACGAATAGCTTGATGTACGCTCCGGACGCAGAAGAGATCAATGCGCTGTCCGCTTCGATTGAGCAGCTGCCAGAGGGCAGCCGATGTGCCCACCATGGCAAGAAGGATATCGAGGAGCTAGACGCGGAGCTGGATGAGGAAGAGCGGCTTGAACCGCGCGTCGGCGTCAAGTCTCTGTGGGATCAGCTTCTCGAGGCTGCTTGCTCCCTGGATGGAGATGACCTGTCCGTGCCCACAGCCGGCGCTAACAGAGGGTCGGAGAGCTACGACGACGGGCTAGGGTCTGGTGCTGCTATGAGCGAAGTGCAGGCGTTGGACGAGTGAGTCAGCCAAAAGACAGAGACTTGCGTGTGCTGCGCATCGCTCGTGCATCCTGACCATCTCACGGCCACGCCTTGCTATCAGACACCTCGAGATGAATGTCAGGGATAGCGCGGTTGCAGCGGCGATGCGCTCGACGGTTCTAGATGCTCTGTCCAGCAAGAGATCATCTGACGAAGTCAGCGCTGAGCTGGCCGAAGCTTTAGGCTGGGATGCCCTTGGCTTGGTCGAGCGGCTCTTGAGCAAAAGGCCCGAGATTCAAAAGTCTTTGCTTGTACCCCAATACGCACAGGTAAGTGCAAACGCTGTGGAACTGTCCGCTGCCGGTCGAGGCATGGCTAGCCAACCGTACATCATTCGACTCCTTGCCGTAGCGATCTCAAGCAGTGGACCCTATCAAGACAGCACCAAGCTTTGCAGCAACTCATACCGGGCTGCGGCTACAGAGACAATCCGAGCGTCGCGCGCAGCCTTACGTGCCCGGCTCACAGATCAAATTCCAGAGCTCAGACGAGCTCGCAAATATTAAAAGGGCCAAAGCCGAAGCCAGAAAGTTTGCTCGGGCTCGGGCAGACCTGGAGGCGAGTCAAGGCTCAGCAGGACAGCTGAGTCTCGAGGAAATGGAGCGAATCAGAGAAGAGCAGCTCGCAGCGGCTGCCAACAGGCCTCTGTTCACGGGAACGTCCACTTCCTCCTCGGAGCCACAGTATCCACACGTCTTCTCCTCGGGTGCAAAAGGTAATATACTCAGCACAATGGGTCAAAAGTTCGCCTTGCCAGCCGGCACGACGCGGACGCCATTCGATGGGTGGGAAGAGGTGATGATTCCGCCGCCAAAGCAGCTGCCGTTTCGTGACACCGAAAGGCTAATCTCGATTTCTGAGCTACCAAGCATCTTCCATCAAGCGTTTCCTGGCTACAAGAGCTTGAACAGGCTCCAGTCGGCGGTCTATCCCCTCGGGTTTGGCACGAACGAGAACCTACTCGTCTGCGCACCTACCGGTGCAGGAAAGACGGACGTCGCTATGCTGACAGTCTTGCGAACCATCAGCCAATATGCCGACGAAACGAAAGCGCGCGGCAATCTGCACCAGCAAATCCGCAAGGATGACTTCAAAATAATCTACGTGGCGCCAATGAAGGCGCTGGCGTCGGAAATCGTGCGGAAGTTCTCCAAAAGATTAGCATATCTTGGTGTCAAGGTGCGGGAGCTTACAGGTGACATGCAGCTCACGAGGCAAGAGATCGCAGAGACGCAAATGATCGTCACGACTCCAGAGAAATGGGACGTAGTAACGCGAAAGCCGTCAGGAGAAGGAGAGCTCGCATCGAAAGTCAAGCTACTGATCATCGACGAAGTGCACCTGCTGCACGAAGAGAGAGGAGCAGTCATTGAGACAATCGTGGCAAGGACATTGCGACTAGTAGAGTCATCCCAGAGCCTTATCCGGATCGTGGGTCTCTCTGCAACCTTGCCTAATTATGTCGACGTGGCCGACTTTTTACACGTCAATCGAATGCAGGGCCTCTTTTACTTCGACTCATCTTTCCGACCGGTGCCTCTCAAACAGCACTTTCTTGGTATCAAGGGCAAAGCTGGAAGCCCTACGTCTCGTGCAAACCTCGACAAGGCTGTGTTTAAAAAGGTGTCGGATCTTTTGGGTGAAGGACACCAGGTCATGATATTTGTTCATGCCAGAAAGGAGACCGTCAAGACCGGCATGGCGCTACGAGAAGCTTTTCGGGCCGAAGGCTTAGAGCAGCTGCTGCAGGAAGGCAAGGAGAACGCCAGCATTGGCACGGCTACGGCTTTGATGAAGAAAGATGTATCAATGAGTCGCAACAAGGAGCTTCGCGAGCTCTTCGAAAGCGGCATCGGCATCCATCACGCGGGGATGCTGCGTCCCGATCGCAACCTGAGCGAGAGGCTCTTCGAGAATGGACTGACGCGTATCTTGTGCTGCACCTCAACTCTCGCTTGGGGCGTAAATTTGCCAGCTTACGCCGTGCTGATCAAAGGCACGGAGGTGTACGACTCGAGCGTTGGTCGCTTTGTCGACCTCTCGATCCTCGACGTGCTGCAGATCTTTGGACGTGCAGGTCGACCGCAGTACGAAGACTTGGGTGTAGGTTTCATTTGCACCAACGAGGACAAGCTTGTGCACTACATCGACGCGATCACTTCTCAACACCCCATTGAATCTAAGTTCATCACCGGACTCGTCGACTCACTAAACGCTGAAGTAGCTCTGGGGACGGTCACAAGTCTTGACGATGGACAGACGTGGCTTTCGTACACGTACATGTTCACAAGAATGAGGCGCAATCCTTTAGGTTATGGCATGGGTCACTCGGAGGTCGCGGATGATCCGCAACTCGGCGCCAAACGTCTGCAGCTCATCCAGTCTGCGGCTCGTCGCCTAGCTGCTTGTCGCATGTGCGAGCTAGACGAGACCGCGGGCCACTTGGCAATTACAGACTTGGGCCGCATCGCAGCGAAGTATTACATACCTAATGGCACCATCGAGATCTTCAACGAGAAGCTCAAACCTCGCATGACAGAAGCCGACGTTCTATCAGTGCTCAGTCTTGCTACGGACTTTGCCCAGATTATACCGCGCGACAGCGAAGAAAAGGAGCTCAAGAAGATGCAGGAAAACGCGCCGTGCGAAGTCCCCGGCGGCTACGGCCATTCTCCTGGCAAAGTCAATGTGCTGCTTCAAGCTTACATTTCCAAGGTATTTGTCGAAGACTTTGCCCTGGTCTCGGACTCGATGTACGTCGCGCAGAATGCCGGCCGTATCATTCGGGCATTGATGGAAATAGCTCTCAGCAAGAAATGGGCCATGACGACCACCTCACTAATCGCGATGAGCAAGGCGGTAGAGCGTCGCATGTGGCCATTCGAGCATCCACTGGCTTTGGAGCAGAGCAAGCTAACGCCAGAGACGGTGTACAATATTACTAGGTGGGCCGACGAGGTAGATGTCGGCACATTTGCGAAAATGTCGGCAGCCGAAGTAGGTGACTTGATCCATATGAATGAGCGCCAAGGCGGGTTTGTCCGGCAAGCGGCGCGCCACTTCCCAACACTCACTGCAAAAGCAGACCTACGTCCCCTCACTTACGACCTTTTGCGCATATCTCTGGAGATGGAAGTGGACTTTGAATGGAGCGAGCGGCTGCATGGCGGTATGGAGCCATTCATTGTATGGGCTGAAGACGAAAGTGCAACCGAAATTCTCCAATGGCAGCGCATCAGCTTGCGTCCTCAGACGACGATGGTCAAGATCTCTTTCGTAATTACTTTGTCTGAGAATATTCCAAGCGGTGTCAACATTCGATGGATCTCGGATCGGTGGCTCGGTGCAGAAGGCGAGTTGTGGCAGTCCTACGACGATTTGCACATGCCAGCCAGGCCGCCTTCCTCCACCGCGCTTCTCGAGCTTCCACTTCTGTCTGTTCGTGATGCGCTCCACAGCCAGGTGTTCGAATCGGTCTACTCTTATAGCTTCAAAGCCTTCAACGCGATCGAGACGCAAGTCTTCCACTCCGCGATGCACACCCGTTCAGACTTGCTGCTCTCTGCGCCGAGCGCATCGGGAAAGTCAACACTCTGCGAGATGGCGGTTTGGAGGGCCTTAAGAAAAAATCGACTTGGGACTGTTCTTGTGGTACTACCCTTGCGCAGTCTTGCACAGGTGCAGGCTGAGAGCTTTCGCCGACGTTTCAAAGACCTTGCAGGTGTCACGGTGCGTGTGGCGCGGAAGCCTGCAGACTTTGCAGAGAGCTCGCCACCCACGCCGACGGTTCTATTTGCTGAGCCGTCACTGTCGCTGCGAGCGATGCGCTCCAGATCGGCCGAGCACATTGACATAGGGGCTCATGTCCAGCTTATCGTGCTCGAGGATCTGCACATGCTGGATGCGACCTACGAGACCTGCGTGACGCACCTCCGCCGCATGGTTTCACGAGACCAGACACGCATTGTTGCTACGACATCGAGCTTGGCAGACGTGTCGAGCTTGCAAGAGTGGCTCAAAATGAAACCCGCCTCTACGTTTGATTTCCATCCATCACATCGACCTTCACCGCTGCGTCTCGATATCGAAGGATTCGACCTGCCGCACTCTCTGCATCTTCTCAAAGTCATGTCAAAGCCAGCATATGATCGGATCAAGTCAGCAATTCATCGCGGGTCATGCGTCGTTTTCGTACCCTCTCGATCGCAGTGCTCAGCGACCGCCACCGAGCTTTCTACTCGCTCTGCGACGGATATAGAAGCGGAATCGTTTCTCACAGTTCCGGAGACCGACCTGGAGCCGCTGTGCGACGTTCTAAGCGACAAAGGTCTGATCGACCCTCTACTTCATGGTGTCGGCATCTGCCACGAAGGTTTGACCGCACGGGATCAGGCAATCATGCTGGATCTCTTTGATCAGGGCGCCATCAGAGTACTCGTAGTGCCGCGCGAAGCGTGCTGGACACTGACATTGCGAGCCGCGCTGGTCATTATCATGAGCACGCAGTACGTGCGACTGATCGATACGTCAGCGTTGACTGGTGCGGAGAAGGCTACAGCCACTGATCGTCAAGTTGTAGATTATAGTCTGATTGAGCTTACCAGGATGAGCAGCTTAGCTATGCAGCCTGGATCTTCGAGCCCGCTGGGAGAATGCACGATTCTGACTCAGGCGGATCAAGTCGATTACCTGCGTCGTATGCTGTCCTTCGGCCTACCTCTGGAATCGAGTATTCTCGACGACCCTGCACACCTGCAGTCTATTCTCTTTGAGGAGCTGTGCAGTGGCAGAGCGACGACCAAAGGCGCCGCGCTCGACTTCCTCTCTTGGACGTACCTCTTCGTACGAGCTTCAATCAACCCGTCCTACTACGGCGCACGCTCGGAATCGCCTTCAGATGTTGGTGCAAGACTCTCTGAGATTATCGACCGTACCTACGAGCAATTTGTTCAAGCAGGCATCGCCGAGTGGAAGATCGTGCCGACTTTCGGAGAGACGTCGCTGAATTTGACGAAGCTAGGCTTGCGCTTGTCGAAGGCTTCTGCTTCAGATCTGTCTTCTCTCTTGACAATGCACGAAGCCAGCCGCCACGATCCTCACATGGCTGCGCGCGTGATCGCATTGCTGATGGAAAGGAAGATCTCTTCGGCCGACTCCGCTGCTCGACCCACGTTGGTCACGCACGCCGAATCCATCAGAGCATCTATACCGGCAGCGTGGCTTACTGCAGCCCACATCGCTCGACCCGACAAAAAAGCCAAGACATCAGAAGATGGAACTCCCGCACCGCTTACCAATCAACAGTGCGACACCCTACTCCTCTTGGCCTACTTCTTGAACAAATTTACGGAGCGCGTTACCAATGGAACGCTCGCGAGCAGGAGGGAGCACCAGGATCACGACGAGAACTCGTCTCACGCCGAGTTGCTGAGCAGACAAGTGGATTTGATTGTCGAGTTGCTTGATGTTGTCACGAACCGCAGGCGTAGTCGCTACCGGGGCGAAAGCACTTGAGCAACGGTTCAGACAGCCTGATCGATGCATTCTATGCAATTTGCATTTAGATGTGCACTCATCCCGGTCGGACCCAAATTGAAGTGCGTCGTCACTTGGGCCAGCGATTTGCCAATGATCTTCCTTGGCTGTGCCCTAACCTGAGGCGACTCCAAGGTCTCGACGGGCAGACAGTGAAAATCGTGGGACTCCCTTGGAATGCAACTTTGTACCATCGAGTCTTTTACATCTGCAAATTCACCAAGGCTGAAATCATTCGTGGCACTGCTTCGAGAGATGAGTTTGTGTGCAGTCGATGTACGGGTGCCTGAAAGTCTGGAGCAGCGAACGTGTGCGGAACGATAGTTGAGGCTAAGGAAGAGAGCAAGCTCATCAGGAAGCAGACATGTGTCGGAAGTGCCTGTCCCCTGCGCTTTAACAAGTGGCTAGTCGGCCAGCTTTGGCTGCGTGTCTGTGATTCACTACGTATTTTTCGGTGTGTGCATCCACTGGGTCCTAGACATAATGGACTTCGTGTAGTCTCTACCTGCACGGATGAGTTTGCGTGGGTCGATTCTCTGTGCTTCGCTCTTGACGCAAGTGCTGCACGCTGCTTGATGGGTTCGCGCGGAGCGCAGCTTGATTTTGAGACGCGTAAAGGAAAGGGCTCGTTGGGCCATTCGTGATTTTGATTGAGGATCGGTGATTTGAGCCAGGACGGGGCGGGCTGGGCAGGGTATCAGAACGGCGCAAAGATTGGGCTCTCTTTATATTAGACAAGAAGTGCCAAGCCGCCACCAAGCGAGTCTCTCCTCGTCTAGTGGTTAGGATGTGACCTTGTCAATTAACAAGATCCGTAGGAACTTGCAAGAAAACGGTCGAGGCCGGGGTTCGATTCCCCGGGAGAGAGCTTTTTTGGACAATATCTTCATTTTGCGCTCGAGCTTGTTACATTATCAGCCGATGGCCGCTAAGTGTCAAAAAATCAGTCTGAAGAAGCTCACTGAATAGGAAGAATCGATGTAAGAGTCAGGGAAAGACGTCCTGGAGGGGGAGAGAAAGCATCGCGTTGATACCCTTCGGACTAGGCGAGTATGGTCGGGCTGAGCGCTAGAGCACGCTCTAAACTTGCTTTTGCGTACAGATCATAAGAGGTGAGGGGTGGTAGGTAAGGTACTCGATCGTTGCGCAGAACCGCGTGCTGACCAGGTTTGAGTGACGAGCAGATGTTCTCTGCTGCCAGTGCGACCACATATGTGAGTCAAAGTATGAAAATCAGAAGGATCTGCAGTGGTGAAACACAAGCGGTCCCATGCGGGGCGCCTCAACTTCGAAAATCGCCGAAGACCCTCAGTCACGTGCACTGAATGTGGATTCTGATTAAAAATTAAAAAATTGTATTTCGCTGAATGGTTACTTGATTGTGAATCGACTTTTAGCTCCGAACTCGGGTGATTCTTTCGATTTACGATGGTGCCAAACTCGATCGCAGCTAGCTCATACCTCTGACGCAGTCCGCACCACACGGCACTGTTCTACTGCGCTTCTGCCACTGTAGGTAGACAGCACGACGCATGTATAGCTAGCGATGCCAGTCCTCGAGACGTCCAGCTCGGCACCCGGCACCACCGGACGGCGCAGCGCGCTGACCTGTGCTCGATGTCGCGCTCGGCCAGCATCTTTGCAGACACGAGGAGGAAGCACTGGAGCAGCGTGCGCTCTATGCGCCAAAGCAGGTCTGGTTAATCGGCTCAAACCTTCTTTTGACAAGTGTAGAGGAGCGGAGCTCTGGGCATCGCTGTGCCAGGACGGGTCGCCCGAACTTGCCAAGACGACTGGCACCGATGATGGGGAGCGTCAAAGGTCGTCAGGGAGACGGGCCAGGACACAGCATGGCACCATCGCTCTGGCCTGGGATGGAGGCGTCGAAGGCCGGTGAGTGTGCAGCAGCGATATCTCAGCGCGTGCTATAGACTCGCCTCTGAGCTCAATCGCGCACCTATTGCAGCGTGCTGCTCCATCTCGCCTGTTCAGAGCTTCTTCACACCAGCAGTGGTAACATTGGCGCAGGAGTCAACCGCGAAGAGGCTCTGCAAGATGACCTAGAAGGTGCAAACCGCGTGGCGCTGCTGCCCTCACAGGTCAAGCGTCTCGGCAAGAAGGGAACGCAAAGGCCACAAGAAATCAAGCACATAGTAGTGATACACGTGTACGACGACAGCACGCCGGCTTCTACTTCGCATAGCAGAAGACAGCTCATCGAAGCCGCAGTCGCAGAGGAGGGTGGAAAGGACGCTGGTTTGCGACTTGTATGCGTGCCTTTGTCAAGCGTGTTCTCGAGGGGGAAGGTATATGGAAAGGTCCGCTGCAGCGCTTATCCTAGAGGTGAGTCCGTGGCCCAGCAACGTAAGAACCACATGTATCATCGCAATACGGTGAATCTCGTCAGCAAGGGCATCCAGAGTGTGCTCTGATAATAATGAAGGCAGGGCGATGAGCGTCTTTCGGGCAGAGACGAGATGCCTACCGGCCTCGCCTCACTCCATCGCTCGCGGATCTGCTCACGGGTCCCCTTCCTTTCCGCACAGGGCCGCGTCGTCTCTCTCAAGACCACGAGTTGCTTCCCAATGGAAGCGCCGCAGACTCTCAAGGTTCTTCCAGCGCTGAGGCAGCTCTGTCTCACCTTCGGAGTGCGCTGAACCCACCAGACGCACCCCGCGCCCAAGCAGCGTCCTGTCTTTCTCGCATTATCTCGCTCCGCAAGGTCTTCACCGAGAGAGTCCTGTTTCGCACGGCCAAGGAAGTGGGCGCTACATGTCTGCTACTATCGCAAAGTGGAACAGGGTGTGCCAATGCATTGCTTGGAGGCATTGTGCATGGAGGCGGGCACGCTGTTCAAATTGCAGGACGCGACGGATGGCGAGAAGGTGAGCACACTAGTAAGCAAGGGCCATCTATGCCATCGCTTTTCAGGCGGGCTATCAGTACCACAGAGATACATCATGGTGGCCCACTCTGAGCTAATGTGTGCCAATGATCCACCCTTGCCTTGCAGATGTCCTGATTGTACGACCACTGCGCGAAGCGCTGCTCAAGGAGGTCATCTATTACGCCCACCATCAACGGCTGAAATACGCCTCTGCAATCTTCGATGACGGGGCTACATCGTCAGGAATGGCAAGCTTGCGCGGTGACAAGAGCAGCATCGGCCGTCTCACGCAAGGTGAGAGCCGTAATTGGGAAGCATCCTTTCATTGTATAGTCTGACCATACTTCACTTGCTTCTGATCACCCAGCCTTCATTTCCCTGTTGGAATCAAACGCCCCGTCGACTGTCAGCACAATCAACAAGACCAGTTCGAAACTTGTCTTCCAGCCGGAGCAATCCGAGTCTAGCGCTGCGCTCGACCCAAGCGCGGATGACATTGCCACGAATCGAAGCCGTTGGCCTACAGTGATAGCCGGGCCGTCTGTTCCCCTACCCTTGAAGCGAGCCCAGCAGACTGCGAGCGCCATTTGTGGTAAAGAACAAAATCTAGGCACAGCCGCTCGGCGGTTACTCTCAGCAGCGAGGGACTCGCCTAAGTGGAAGAGTCCAGGCATCAGCCACCGAACTGCAAAGAACATGCCTGGTCAAGGCGATGCTCTTGAGCCCGCCGATGGTCTCTATGCATGGACCCCCTCGTGTCCGTTGTGTTTGTTGCCTGCTAGCCGTCAACGGCACCAGTGGACCGATGCTTTGCGTGTACACGTTCCCGAGGCGCAGCTCAAGCCGCCATTGGCGCATCAAGCTCAAGAGCCTACCATCGATCTGGGACGCTTGCTCTGCTACGCGTGCGCTCAGATTTTGGAGACACCGGACCCCGCGCCCGTCTTCCGAGGGGCCCCTTTGCTCGCCGATATGGAGTCAAGTTCTGCCGTGATGTATCTGCCCGAGTACGTCTTGCACGAGGCCAGCAAAGAGCTACAAGCCGAACGTGTCCATCTACAAAAGCTTGTTCACCCAGATGGCAATGCCATGGAGCGGCTCACTGCGCGAGGCGAAGACGATGGGACGTCGGACCGCCTCGAGACTATCGCCGCCTCTGACATTGAGGATCTGGAGCATCTTACCTCTCATCCAACGCGAGGAAAGCACACGCCTAGGCAGATCACCCGAGACGAGATGCTCGGGGAGCTCAAAGATTATCTGGTCACATGAACAGCATATTCACGAACGCCGTATAGGCAGGCCCACATCGATGGTCGTGAATTGGACTTTCTTAAAGTGTAAGAACATTAATATTGCATTAGTGATGTAAGATAATGTAAATGTGCAAACCCGAGTGGGAGAGGATCAATGCCGTCGTAAGGGACAAGAGCGCCTTCGAATAGACACGCGATGCGAAAGATGGCACAGCTGGCACGAATGAGGGACTCAGTGGAGCGTTGGAGTCCTTTCGGCGCATTCTTCGGAGCTCGAAGGGCGCACGACGGCGTTCATGACGCGGAGAGTGGACTTGCGAGCCTTTCGACGCGATGCGTGCTGGGAGCGCCTGCGCTGAGCATCGAGGGTAGCTTCTACCTCGGCATTCGGGCCGATGGCAGACAGAGGTTGCTTGGTGCCGACTAGCTCCGTCTTCATCAGCGCGCTAGCGGGTCTGGTTGGTAGGTGATGGAACGGCACAGGCGAAGATGCTCTCAAGGTAGTGCCTCCGACGTTGACATTCTCTTCCCAGGGAAACAAAGGCGAGCTCATGCTTCTTCGACGCCTGCCATCCTCTTGCGCAGCGACGTCCATGGCAAAGTCTGTGATGGTAGGACTCGTCGCGCCATCCATCTCCGCGGCGTTGACCAGCATCTCCTCGGTACCCTCATCGCTGGGCTCCCGATTTCCCCGTCGCAGCGAAGTTTTCGGAGACAAAAGCGTCGGCGACCAAAGCATTCCTTTCCTTTCCGGACTAGTCATCATCTCCTTCCACCAAGCTGGCGTCTCTTGTCGGCTGCTGACACGAACGGGTGTGGGAGGACACTTGCTGCCATACTCGCGCAAAGCAGCAGCAGCGTATGGGGCTTGATGCCTCCGAATCCTATGCTGCCGCATAGCATTGGGAAGCTCCAAGGTCCGCAAAGCTGGACTCGTGCGGGTCCGAGCGGGACTGCTTCCGAGGTCGAGTGTTGCTTGTCCCGGAGAGCACATTGTAGCCATGCTTGGTCGATGCATCGCTGCAAGGTAGGGGTAACTAAAGTGACTAGCCGTCCCCACGCTTCCCAGACTTTCGCTCGAAGGAGCACGCGTCATCATGCGCTCCAATGGCTGACCCATGTCGGGAACATCCAAGTATTCGCGCAACTCCTCCCCCTCCGCACCTCGTGAGTCCCTCAGGTCGTGGTGGGCGCGCCTGCCGCCACGGATGGTACGCTGCACGCTCGCTGGCGCCCCAGCATCGTCAAGATCAGCCCCTAAAGCCTCGATAAAAGCTTCTGGCAAGCCAGCTCTGCTCGCTTCAAAGCTCGAGGCATGAGGAGGATCGCCTAGTACCGCTCTGACTGCTTCTTGTTGACGACGCATGCTTGATCTGACGCGCGGCGGGGCCTTGCGTTTGATTTTGAACGCACCAACGGCCCCCGGACCTTGCATGTGAGACGTATATGTGCTCTTCTCTTCGTCGACGTCCCGGTCAGTTTGGTCGTCCCTTCTTCCTCGATTGAAGATGGCGTTACTGGCATTACTGGCGTGGCGTTTCAAGCCCCTGCTAGCGCTATTAGCCCACGTCTTTGGCTGATTGATCCACAAAGACGACACGGGCGGGCCACGGTCAGCGAGCGTGTCGACCGGAGATACAACATCACGAGCGTAGTAGCTCTGCAGCGCATCCTTCTCTTCCAGTCGCCGACGCTTGCGAGTCCGAGCTGCATACACACCAGCGAAGGCAGCTACCAGAGCGGCGGCACCGAGAACGCTACCGGCAATCACTCCACTCTTGCCAGGCTGCGAAAGAGATGAGGATGGGGAAGAAGGAGCAATCACGTTCGGAGCTGTGTCGGCGTGGGCTGAATTTTCCCCATTGCCGAGACCCGAAATGATGTGCTGCGTCCCGACATTGGGCAGTGGATTCGACTGCGGCATCAAATGATCTTTCGCTGCCCCGGCGCCTGTTTGATGGTCGCCCAAGATCGCGCCCTTGGACGCTTCGCCGTTTGAGGTTTGCTGAGCTTCTGATTGAGGGCTTGTGTCTGGATCGGTCGCAAAGCTTTGACGATTAGACAAGACCTCTGCAATGCTGCTGCTCCACCTCCAACCACCAGGCGCTGCTGTGTCGAGGTAGTACAAAAGACCAGAAGAAGCACGTGTTTGCGTGTTCGATTGGGCTCGTGTTGACAAGGCTTGATCTACCGCCGACGTACCTTCCGACTCTTGTCCAAAGCCAATGACCAGAACTTTGTCAGCCCAGATCGCAGTATGGAAGGCGCGAGGAGGCATTTTGCCGCTCATGCCGGACACGCGACTCCATCTGGCGGGCGTCACGGTTGGGTCGAGCACGAAAACTTCATCCGTGGCATTTCTGTGAACGCCAGATGCTGCCGTGGAGAGGAATCCGCCGTGCATGATGATCTTGCCATCTGACGTGCGGCTCGCCGTGTGCCCGAGACGACCAGCTGGCATGTCTTGAGCATCCACAGAAGCTGTTGTTATCCAGCGCTCCCACTTCCCTGTTGCCAAATCCAAAGCCCAGACGTGATTCATGTCGACCAGCGACTGATGACTATCCCTCCCGCCTAGGAAAAGGACTCTAGCGTTGCTCTTAGTCACGCTGTTGGCTGGTAATAGAACAGTAGCATAATCTACGACGGGAAAGCCACTCATGCGATTGTCCAGAGCTAGCGATCGAGTAGAAATCGCGCCGCCCTTTGCAGAAGCAGAGGGAAGCGCTGACCAAAAATCGACGCCAAAGTAGTCTGCCGTTCCTCGGCTGCTGGATGCCACGGGTGCACAGGTGCTGCCGTCCGTAGTGCCACCGACAACCATGAAGGTGATTGCACCAGTTTGGCGTGCCTTCTTCTCGTCCTGCATGTTCTGCAAGCCCAGCTCGTTTGGCACTTGTACTGCACGTGCTCCACGTCTGCGCACCGGCGTTGAGACATTCAAATTGTTTGGCAGATCATGCAAGGCGTCCCACTTGCCGTCGGTCAAATTGGATGTTGAGGTGGACCATCGATAGACTGGAGCGTTGCCAGTGCAATCGTCTGTTGCCCCGCCCACCAACCAAATCTGACCATTTTCTTGATTGGCCTTGTGTGTCAAGGCACGCGCTGCAAATGCATGCGGAGGCAAGTTCGCAGAGTTTAGGAGCGTCCAGTGCTCGTCGCCCTTGTCGCCACTGCGACTTCCTTGCTGCGCCGCCGAGACGTTTGCAGCGACGAGTTGCGAGACGTCGAGAGCGAACACGTCGTTAGTGACCATGCCAGCTTTCTCGCTGCTATTCGAGGGCACTTGGCCACCGATGAAGATGATTGACTTGGCAGAAGGTAGATAAGCGGCTGTATGCCCCCATCTCGGACCGGGATTGAAGTCATCCATTCTTGACGGTCCCGTCGGCAAGGCTCCTGATGCGGCGTCTTGTGTGCTCCCCGTTGAGTGCGCATCTCTGAAGAGCAGTGCGCTGCTACCGTCAGATGTGCTCTGAAACGTTCCCTGGCCACTTGCTGAAGCCATGTATCTCGAGTCCGCAGCTGCGGGTGGCAATGCGACTGCTGCCACAGTGGCACACCCACCCTGTGAGCTGCCGAGCAAGGCTGGCCATAGCAAGCTCACAATGACCGCTCGAAGCAAGCAAGAGCTAGCCGCGCGATGTTTTCCTCGTGGCGCGCCTGAGCTGTGCCACGCTGCTCTTCGGTGTGACTTTAATGCCTCGGCGTGACACATGGCATGACCGCTGCT